TTGACAAAGCAAATTTCTCAAAAACATATTAAAACTCCAATACTGGTTTCAGAAATACGAAAAACAAAAAGTAAGCACTGAGTTACCTGCAAAAATCTATACTTTCTATAAGCATGAGTTTGCGTATTTGTAGGCTCCATTTGAGGCTCCATTTTGGGCCTGGAAGGTCTCGTGGAGGACTCTAGAGGCCAAAAGCAGTGGGGGGGGGGGGCGTGTGCACCCCACCTGCGCCCCATTTTTGTTAACAGAGGCACTGCGGGCCAGTCCTTTGCTATTTCCAGACCAGTCCTGTGGGCCTAATCTAAGCACCCCACGGGTTGGATCCAGCCCGTAGGCCTTGAGTTTGATACCCTGTGATAGGAGATACCTTTGTGATAGGAGATACCTTTGTGATAGGAGATACCTTTGTAATAGGAGATACAACTCTTTTTGAAATGTAACTACTGTACATGTACTCCTCAACTTATGTACATTTCTTTAACAATGGTCCAAAGTTAAGAAGGCCTCAGAAAGGGTGCTTTACAATCTGTAAAATATTTCCAATGGTCACAAAATGTTGCCGCTCACCCAGTCCCGTGGTCCTGATCTGTTCACACTTACAACTGCCAAGCAACCCACAATTATATAATCACCATTTGCAATTTTCTCTGCTGACTTCCTTAGAAGATCAGTGGATAAGCTGGGTGGGAAGGTTGCATACTATTAACTGCTTGCTGAGATGACTTCCTTTTGTCTCTGGGGGCTGGCTGAAAGAGGGTGGGCTGAAATCTCTGACAGGCAGCCCATTTGCCCTGAAAGACCTACTTGCCAAAGGATATCATCTTTTTTGCTCCCCGCTCTTAATGATGCAGAAGATTGCTTATTGACCAGAACTGGGAGTGCCAGAATTGTGGTTGTTGGATGAATTACATATACAGTATATCTCTAGGTGTAATTTGAATTTTTCACAACATCCCTATTTGCCATTCCAGTGTTCCCCAAGGGAAGGAGACGGTTCATCTGTTGCCAGCAGAACCAGTCAGCCCTGCCTTACCAGCAAGCATCCCAGTTGATCCCTCATCCTTCCTCTTTTCACATGCAATGAAGTCCTATGCTGTTTCACTTCCTCTTAAGAGAACCCTGATAAAGCCTCTTCCTTTTCCTCAGCTGACTGTGGAACTGTCTGCCACTTTGCTGTAGGGAAGGGGAATCAAGGGAGATACAGACCACAAGGGAAAATGGCATCCTCTATCACTCTGCCATGTTCACAAGGGACTCCTCCCTCCAGGGAGGAAAGTGGCTCACCTGACTGTCTGTGCTCTCAGCCAGCCCTACTTTGTCAGTAGGGATCAAATTTATTCCTTCATTCTTCCATCACCAGTCACCATCATTAACAGTTTACAAATTTCAGCCTTGGTTGCAAAGCAGCCAGTGGCTACTCACTTAGTCAGGTTTTGCTGCCAGCTGACTAGGTGCAGGAGCCAGAGGTGGGAAAGAGAACAGGGATATACTACTCTTACATCATGCAACCTACAACTCCATCCAAGTGTAGTTGGATGCCGAAACAACCATAAATTTGCCAAATTTCAATCCCATGTAATGAATTTTGGATGCATTCGGTAAGTTAGCCCATCTGAGGTAAATTGATTTCAAATGTATTGCTCTGTGATGTACTACCTCATCCAATTGACAATTACAAGACACAAAAATTTTAGTAATGTACTTAATAACCCATGAGTTGTTGGGTCATTCTTTCAGAAATAGAGTAAAGAATAAGAGTAAATATAAATAAGAGTAAAAAGCAGTGTGATGGGAACAACTGACTTCCTGATAGCTTCCCCATTGACGTTACTTGTGGGAAGCTGGCAGGGAGCATCAGAAATAACTCATTCTCCTTGGCAATTCCAACCGGGGAACTACTTGTCACTTTGCTGGGGAGAGAGGGAACAAAGGGAGGTAATGACAGTGAAGAAAACTGCACACTTACCCGCCATCCCAGTGTGTGCCCAAGGGCCCCTTTCCTTCAGGGAAAAAGAGGACTTACCTGTCGCCTGCTGGCACCCCCATTCAGCGCTATTTCACCAGCAGGCATCCAAATTGCTCTCTTCTTTCCATCCCTTATTGCCCACTGCCATTGAGATACAGGTAGTCCTCGACTGACAAATATTCATTCAGTGACAACTTTAAAAAAATGGCACTGAAAAAAGTAACTTATGACTCTTTTTCACACTCACAACTGTTGTAGGATCCCCATGGTCATGTGATCAAAATTTAGGTGCTTGGCAACTGCTTCATATTTATGACGGTTTCCAAGATTCACTCAATAACTGTGTCAAGGAAGGTCATAAAATGGAGGGAAATTTGCTTAAAAATGCCTCACTTAACAACATAAATTTTGGGCTCAATTGTGGTTGTAAGTCAGGTATACATGCAAATCGGGCATGTATTTCAAATTTCAGCCTTGATTCCCGAAGCAGACAATCCCTGTTCACCCTGTTAGGCCTTGCCACCAGCTGAGGAGGTGCGGGGCCAGAGGGAGGTGGGTAAGAGGGTAGGGATATACCCCTCCCCTTTTCCCTTGCACCACAGGACCACAGGTTTGGGGAAGTGTAGTTGAATGGTCCATTGGAGCTGAAGAGGCCACAACTTTGCCAAACTTCTTTCCCATAAGAGTCACAGTTGCCAGATTTTGGATGGATTCTTTAAGTTAGCCATTTGAAGTATGTTGATTCAAAAACTGTTACCCTATAATTCACCATTATACCTAATGGTAGATTACACTTGAAGGTTTCAAAATATCAAACAGATACAACAGTTTTAGTAGTATATAGAGAGGCAGACTGCAGGAGGATGAAATAAGCCCTCCTTTTTTGTCCTCCAAGAATGTTTCTTGACATACAGTATATTGTAATACTTCTAGATATATCTGGCAAAATTAGCTTACAAAAACAAAAAAAGGAGGTGAAGTAAAGAGAAATTTATGTTCTAGTCCCTGTGTGTATTAATACGTTCTGGAAGTAGTCGGCTTGACAGATCTGCTTTCTGCCTCTCCCTTTGCTTTTCCCTCATGATTGTGACTCATTCTTAAGCATCTAGAGAACCCATTCACCCTTTGCTGCAAGATGGATTAGTTTTAACCTATTTGGACTGTGCATCGGCTTTCAGGGTGAAAGTGCATGTTTTTATGTATCTTTTGTCTAATGGTAGTAAGGAATTCACATGTGTGATGACAAACAATAGTTAATAAGGAAGTACCAGAGGTCACAATAAACTATTCAACAAGGAAAGATTAGTTACTAACTTCACAGTGCATTATACCGTAGTTCATCTCTTTACAAAACTTACTATTATGATATTAAAAGGTCTCTATGACTCTAAAGTAAGCTCAGCTAATAATGCCTCCAAAAATTATATAAGCAGAAGTAAGAAATATGGAGACAGAAATATTTTCCTCCAATAAATATGCAATTTGTGTTCACATAACCACTTTGTATCTCACATTTCAAATACAAATCATGACTAGTCTTCTATACTATATAAAATGGGGAATTTCTCTCGTACCTTCTTTCACTAAAGGATGTCTAGAAGGATTATATAACATTATGCCTTGTTTTCTTTCCTAAGCTATGCAACTTTGATCAATAATTATTCATATCCCTAAAATACATTGGAAACCAAACTAATGCACATATAGATTGAGAAGGCAAGGAAGCACATATATTCTAATTCCCTTGAGGAAATACAACTGAACCCTACTTGATCCTCAAAGCCTTCCTTGCACTATGTGACTCACAGATGCCTGTGCAACAAGCAGGTTTTTAACATGGCTGCACTTGCAGGCAAGTGTTCACTCACCATCAGACTTCCACTAATGAAGACTATACCTTGATGCCACCAGAACTTCCTCTATAAATTCATGTTTGGGTAGATTATTGGTGAAATTGGGTATATTCAAATAAGAGGGAAAAACCTGGAAATTACCAAAATGCAAATAATAAACATTTGCTTGGCTTCTTGGCCAACACAAAGCAGATGTTGAAGGAGAATTTGCAGATGAAATCTTTTTTCTGAAACAAGGAATTATCTTTGAATCAACCAACTAAATAGCTTATTTGCATAACCTGAGCTAATCTTGGCAGGATCTGTATTTCTGAAATATATTTCTGCTGGATATATCCTAATAAAACAGATGCAAAAAGGACAATAATTCCCAACTAAAAGCACAGTTGTCCCCTGCTTTGCTATTAAGCTAACAAAACATGCTCTACTAACAGAGCATCATATATATTTCAAATAATTGACAAAGAACAGAATGTAAGTTGCAAGTAAGAACAAAAATAACCTACAAAAGTTGAGAACAAAAATAAAAATTTCATCATTTTATATTCAAGTACAAATGAAAAACCTCTATAAAAATCTATTTACATATGGTTTCTAAAAACTGTATTGCTCAGGATGCAAGACACATCTTTATCTAATCAGTCCCAAATGTATCATCCAGTCTTTAGTCTGAACTTATTATTCAGGGCTATTGTTTTCATTTATCAACCTTATTATTGACTTTTTCCAGCAGGTAGTTTGCAAAACTATGCTCTTTTCACTCTATCATTATCAATTATTTGTTATGCATTGCCATCCCAGGTTTCTTATTTTTTTAAAAAACAACTTCAATTGAATTTAATAAACTCTGACGCCCAGATTATTTGGAGAAGAACTCAAGACCTATTGTTAAGACAGATGCAATTCCATAGAATTGGAATTTGCAAAAAGCATACATACTGAGCTGATAACTAAGTTCTATTTCAGAAGCTTCTGCAGAAAACTGAGATTATATCAAAGTAACAGCACATATGAGGTGATGTCATAATACATATATAAGCAACTTCTGATGCAAGCTGCAGCTTTTGTGGTCACTGTAATCACATATATTTTATCATTTCATTTCTTTGGAAATCAATGTTGTAATTATAAGTGAATAACCCTGAAAAATCTGAGGAGAAAAAAAACACACTTTATCTTACCACTTTTTCCTTATAAACAATGTACTTCAGCCACTTGAAATCCTGCCACTTGAATCCTGCCAGTACAAACAGTGAATCCTTCTCATACTGCTCCGGTTTCTGGATAGCCCCTTCTGGATATGTTATCCGCATTGTTGTCTTGCCACCAACATCTTTTTCAAAGCCTTTTACTGGAGCAGAATTCAGCCTTCCAGGAGATAAGAGAAAAATTATGAACTGTATTTATATTAGAGTTCAAAGTTTTGTGTGGCAAAAATCAATGTCAGGAACTCCACCACGGTAAAAATTGCAAAGGCATCACACTCAAATTATTGGGGATTGTTACCACCAATAAAGCAGTAAGTAGTAAATAAAGCAAAAATAGAACTGCCTGATACTGCCATTAGTTTACACTATAAATGGTCTATTCTTTGGAGGCAAGATATGTGATTATATGTTGTATGGAGAAAGTATTAATATTGACAAAATAAGTTTATTTTTTATTTATTTATATTTCACATTCCTGAACTGCCATCCCAACTCAAAGAGGTACTCTAGGCAGTGTATAATAAAACCTCAAAATCTGAAAGAGTAAATAAGAACTTAAAATGTCAGCATTAAAAATTTAAAGCAGTATAAAAATTTTAAGGAGACAAGAATAATTAAACCCTGTTAAAATCATGTTATTTCGGGAGTTTTCTTTTCTTTTTCTTTTTTTAATAAAGTTTTATTTGGGTTTTCACACACAAAATACAAGTAAAACATCTTTTTTGAAAATAGCATGGTCCCGGGTTGAACTTCTTTATACAGACACAAAACTCAATTTCATGCTCCTTTTTGTATTTTATTCCATATCTTATACTATTTTACATTTTCTATATAGTTTTTCCCCTCTTTTAATTTTCTCAATTTTATTTTGATTATCTCATCTCAATTCAAATCATTATATTTATACTTTTGTCTGTTCTGTTTCAATTTCATATTATCTTTTCTCATTAAACAAATTTTCTCCTGTAGTTACTAATTGGAGTATGACACCTTTATATCTTTTAATTACATCCATTCAACTCTTATTTAAACTTCAATATATACCTTAAATTTATGACCTTCAATATAATACATAATACATAACTTCCAATCGAATTCTGCTTGGCACATTCTTATAATACACACTATATTCTTTAAAAAAAAAAAAAAAGATTGTAAATATATGTAATTATAAACCCTCATTCCATTCCAGTTCAGTTCTATCATTAATAATCATTAAAACCATAACATCTTTAACACTTCTTTTCAATTAAATATCATACTTCCTTAAAAACACATATATTCTCCATAATTAATTATTCCCTTATTTCTCTTCACATGTTTTATAAATCATTAAATATACCTTTTGTTACATTTATTTATTGACAAGCATTCCACTGAATTACGATAGCTATTTTATCAGACATTTTAATCATACATTGTTTCATATTTTCTAAAATTATTTCTGCTTCTAATATAACCATACTATCTTATGTACCTTTGCAGAATCCCTTTTTCCATTAAGTTTTCACCCATTATCTCTAAATAGACCCTGTTTCTCTATATTTTGCTTCTGTCATTTATAACTTCTTTTCCTTTCTTTCTTCCCTCTCATCTTCTCCCTCCCCCTTTTACCCCCTTGTCTCTCTAGTTCTAATTCTATCTTCTGCATTTCCCTCTTCTGTTGCTTTCTGATTTTATACTTATTTTTCACTCTATTTTTTTTTGGAGTTGTTTTTCCCAATCTTAAACTTTCCATTCTCTTTCTCCCCTTTCCTTTCCCCCCCCCATCTAAGATTACTTGTTCATTAAAGATGGCTTCGTCTTTGTCGCAATCTTCTTGTTCTGCGGGCATTTCTTGTTGTTTCTCATAATTCCAAATCTCCATTTCTAAAAACTGAAATACGAAGCCAAAAGAACCTCTCCCTTCTTGTGCATCTTCTTTGTACTTTTTAAGTTCCATTTTCAGTTCTTCTAAAAGTGGAGCCATTTTAAAACGTTTTAAACAACCACCCGATTGATTTTAGTCATTCAAAACAATAACCAAGAATCCAGAAATCATCAAGTAATCCAGATAGTCCCGAGTTATATCTTCTTATTTCTTTTTCGACTTTCTCTTCCTGGGGTTTTTGTTGCGATATTTCAGTTAGAATGTATCTTTTGGAAGTCTTGTTGAGATTTTAAGTTCTTTTTTAATTCCAGGCAGTCTCCTCCCTTCCAGATCCTGCCCTTTTATTCTTCCTCTCTCCTTTCCTGTTTTCAAAAGCTTTTAATTATCCAGAAATCTTTATTATCCCTTTGACTTTTTATTTTCAGCATTAAATGCCTATTGATGTCAAAGTGGATTTTTTTCCAATTTCTTGCTTAAGTCTCTTAGCTGTCAGTATAGGAAAAGGAGAAAACCAAATCTTTTCCCTTTTCTCTCTCCTTCGCAGCTTAAAAATCTTCTTAGGGAACAATGTTATTGTTTTTTAACAGTTTCAATTCCAGGGTACCTTATTTGTTGCTTTTGCTGTTTGACCCGGTCAACCAAAACTTTCTCTTCTTATCTTCCTCCTGCACATTCTTTTCCGGTCGAGTTCTTCTTTGTGGTGGCCATTTCTGACCACCGCTGCAAACGCCTTCGGGAAAGGGAGTAATGGCTAGCTGGGGAGGAGAGATGCGGCTCTCCTCAACCCTGCTGGCAGTCTCCCCCCTCTTCACCACCTCTACGGGGCGGCTTAGCCCCAAAACCAGCCAGCTCGGGGCACTCCAGCAGCGAGCACGGATCGAAGCCTCGCAGAGACGAGGTTTCGGTCTGTTGCTGAAGAAGCTCAAACCAGAAGTCTGGGAGTTTTCAATTATACCAGGGAAGAAGCAACAAATTCCTTTAGCAACTTGATACTTCCCATACTTCCCACCTATTACTACTAACAAATCTTGAGAAAAATATTCATTTAAAGATATCAGGCACACTATTTTCAATTATGTTATACAAAGGAATTCCTAGAGTCATTCTCATTCCTTCATACTATTTTTGCATTTCTTTTTTACAACATATAAATTGCTGCTAAGTTGCTGTCTGTACTAAGTTTGCAGTGTTACAATTTAATCAAAGTTTTTCACAGAATTGCAAATGTGTTAATTAGAAGTACAGTGTTCAAGTAAATATTGTAACAAATGAGCATTTAAATGAGATATAAAGTACTTCAAAGTTATTCTTTCAAAAGTACATTTCTTATCGTTATTCCCTAATGAGATCAGGGCTTCCTCAAAATCATGGTTATATCAGCTGAAACATTCCTCAAAGAATTCAGAAATATATCTAATTCATGAAGACTTAAGTCTCCAATAACAGAGACAATTTTAAGGCTGTGTCACTTACATAAAGGGGGAAAGAACTTCCAAACTACTTCAAATACTAGAAATTACTGCAGTATTACTGGAGAAAAAATCTAAACCATCAAACAGTTAAAAAACATGATTGGAATATGTGCTAAGAGAGTATAGCCAGTTTAGTGCAGGAGTGTCAAATTCACATTGTCACGGCATCGTCACGTGACGTATCAGGACTTTCTCCCCCTTCGCTAAACTGGGCAGGGGCGAGGCCAGTACATGAAACATCCAGCTTGCGGGCCATGAGTTTGACATCCCTGTCCAGTGGTTAAGACACCAGGCTAGAAACCAAGAGATTACATGTTTTTACCTTAGGCATGAAAGCTGACTTTCATTAGACTAGCGTCTCTCTCTCTCTCAACACAACTCACCTCACAGGGTTATTGTTGTGGGAAAAATAGGAGGAGGAAGGAATATTCGGTATGTTCACTTCCTTGAGTTATTGAAAATAATAAAGGTGGGATATCAATAAATAAACAAATACAGCTGAAATAACCTATTTGGGCAGTTCTATAATTGTCATGTCAAATATGATGTTCTCAGCACAGTAATTTAAAATATCTTCTGTGAGAATTTTGAAATTATCAAGACAAGGTTCCTGGAGTTTTCTAAGCCACAACTGAGACCATCTTACAGGAGACAAATAGGCTGCCAAATGGTATACTGGCTGATTGTTGGCTGTGTTTTAAGAACAAATACTTAACTACTTAAATATAGCACAACAAATACAAATACTTAAATATAACACTTAAACAAACAACTCTTATGGACTTTAAACAGGAACTCAGTTCTCTTTATGCATTTGATGCAGAATATTTATTAAATTATACAAGGCAAAGATGGCAGGAATGACTATATTATTTGATAGATTATAAATTTCTTAAAATGAAACAACTGCAATCAAGTGGTATTATTTCTACTGAGAGAGACAACAAAGATTCAACTTGTAATAATCCATACTTCATAAATGGGGAAATGGGCAATTAAGAAATAGAATAAATAAGCAAACAAACATGCTTTCCATTTTATTCTAAATTCCAGAGTCAAATGTAATCATGGATTGGTTTTTCCTAAGATAATGAATTATTGGACTATCTACTCAACTGCATCTTTCTCTTTCTAAGAAATAAGGGCATATTATTAAATCCATGAAACAGGAAGCATTCTTGGTCCAGATGGCTATTCCGTAGACTGGTACAAGAAACATATTGATTTATATGAGTGGGTGGATGTTGTTCTAGTGCTACTGGAATTTAATAATTAAGCTTCTCTAAATAATCTCCTGCTTAGAAGCCTATGCTATTGTGTTCTTTCTTCAAGTTAGCATCCAATTTCTTTGTTAAACATGAATTAACTATTACATTAGTTCATAAACTATAAAAAAATATTACCACAAATTATTCAACCCATACGATGTAGATTTCTAAAAAGTCATCAAGGACCTGGTAATATTAGATTGCTAAATAAAATAAATAAAAGTTTACTTAAATAGTAAGAAATTCTACAACCAGTAACAGTAGGAGATACTGACATACTACATTGGAAAGTTCTGAAAGAGGTTTGTCTATATACAGATTTGTTAAAGTTTTTATTAGCTACATTAATGTGAAGTACTCTATGCCTTCTACTAGGTTTACTACAGATTGATATTTTTCTTAATCTATTTTGTGGTGCTTGTTGGGAATGTCTCCTCTTCAAACTTGACACTGGAATTACTGTCCTGTCCCATTGAATAAACTGATGGCATTTTAAATGTAGCAATGGCTGGAATTGAACATAAACTGATGTTAACTTTTGATGATATATTATGTTTTATTGTTAATTATGCATTTTACATAAAAAACTTACTGAGGCTGTCCAACAGTTCAAGAAATTGAAGAGGCTATTGGATTAACTGCTGTAAATTCATCTGTTCCACACAGGTTCTAATGCTGCAATGAAAATGTGTACTGTAGCTGAGTTTTACCTGTTTTTTCAATAATTTTAAGTATTTGAGAACAGTTATTCCAAATATTATTACCTTCACTTGTGGCTTTAAATTTGACATTTAAAAAAAAACACCACAAATACATGTTAAAATACAGATTATTAAAAATTCTATGGAAAATTATTACTGCCTCAGTATGAATATATTTACTTAAAGACATTTCTATAAGTATGTCTAAATCATTCTAAATAGATTGGTTAAATATTAATTAAAATATTTTTATGGCAAAAACGTAATCACTTATGTAAAAATTCAATTAAAATGTCTGTTGAACTTGCAAGGAACTCCTGTTCCTTGCCCCAGCTCCTGCCCACCTAGTAGTTTGAAAGCATGCAAATGCAAGTAGATAAATAGGTACCACTTTGGTAGGAAGGTAACAGCATTCTGTGTACCTTTGGTGCATAGCTACGCTGGCCACATGACCAAGGCAATGTCTTTAGAAAATGCTGGCTCCCTCAGCCAAGAAATGAAGATGAGCACTGTGCCCTAGAGTTGGACACAACTGGAGAGGGAAAACTATACCCTTCCCCCCCTCTTAATATTCATATAATTTTTAACCTATTATTTAACAACTGTTGTAAAGGTGTGAATGTTCTTTTGAAGAATATATTTGAAAAAGTGGAATTTATCACCATAAACATGAATCACAGAGTTATTGTGCATAGGAGACAGTAAAAGGCCCTAATTATGGAATCATGGAAAGGCACTCCAGACTTACAATTTTGGATGACTGATACATGTTCACTTTTTGTTTATGTACTGGTGCTCCATTGTCATAAGTCAAAAAATGATACAACTTTGAGTGACCAAAGTTTAATTTATTTAAAAGTTACGTTGAGTATTTTCTATAAATGGAACTCTAGAATATAACCTCTGCAAATAATACGGTTCACTTGTGTCATTACTGCCTGTATTAAAACAAAACAAACTGCAGGTCAGGTCCATAAACATTAAATGAAAGATCCTATCAAATGCAAAGTGTTGTGACATAAGCTCCAGACGATAGCTATTTCTATCTTCCTTGCCAAGAATCCCATTTTGAAATAATTTTGGAAAATAGTTTCTTTCATTTGAGCACATTGGAAAAGCCTTGAAGCCTTTCCTTTTATTACCTTCTAAGCTGTGCCTAATCCTCAGCAGGAATTGTGCAGTAAACAAATTTGGTGTAGGAGGGCTGGACCTTTTAACTCTTTAATCATATCTTCTTCTCTGAGTGGAGTGAGTGGCTGAGGGTCAGACATGACTGATGAGGAGGATATTCTGAGCAAAGTGGGAAAACAGAATTGTGGCTTCCACAAAATCTCACTTCCTTATGAACAGCATGTAGCCCTGCAGCAACTGTTCCTTAGAATTAACAACGGCATGTATAATGCAATATCTTCAACAGGATGTTGGCTATCAATTATGCCTAATATTAAGCAAAATAGGTTAATACATCCTGGTTGGGAATTTGGGAAGCTTGAAATTGATCACATCTGGCAGGCACCAGATTAGGAAGATGAACTAATATGAGAATCGTGTCATTAGGATTGTTTCAATGAAGATAAAACAATGGATTCTAATCAAAGGATCATTTCAAATGCTGAAAAAAGAACCAAGTATTCAAATGTTGAATAATGGATGGCTGTTATTTTTGTTAATTTCACTTTTTCTGCTATTTATAGTAATATAGGAAAATGACCCGCATAATATTTTCTCTTCTCTTTTGCTGAAACAACTCACCTGATAACAATGTCATAGTCATCAATTTTCAAGCCCAGAGATTTGTTTGCTAGAATGCCACCATTTCCCACAATAATACATCGTTTGCAGCTAAGACTGGAAAGGAAACAGAAGAGCAGTTGGTTAAACAGCGAAATACATAGGCACAGAAATATTTCTGATCCAGATCTGAGCCAGTCTCTCCTAAAAGAATCAGAAAGTAGTTAATTCACAATTAAGAGAATGACCCTCGATAGTAATACAATTAAGATATTGGTATTGGAAGATCATAGACATAAAGTTACATCTATCATGTAGAAATTGGTTGTCCCTATTTTTCTGCTTGAGTTTAACTCGGAACTTGCACAAGATCTTTTTCTTGGCCATGGATTGCTACAGATCAAAAGTAAAAGATGCTGTAAAGTACTGTAAATAATAATATATATTTGAGTTTTAGAAATTGATTGCTGTACATTTGAATTAGTCTTTTTTATAAGTCTGGACAAATGTTCTGATTTCTCCTCCCTCAATTTGTATATCAATAACAGTCTCTCTCAACACAGAGACACCACTTTGTTATCAAAAGATAAATAAAGTAAGAAAGGAGGAATTGAAATGGATGATCTAAATTAGATAGTCCATATGCCATACATACCTTTAACACTAGAGCAGGGGTGTCCAACCTTGGTAACGTTAAGCCTGGAGGACTTCAACTCCCAGAATTCCCCAGCCAGCAAAGTTGAAGTCCTCCAGGCTTAACGTTACCAAGGTTGGACACCCCTGCACTAGAGTATTATTTCACACCAAAATTTGGCAGCAAAATGTTTGAAATATGGTGATGATTTTTTCATCTGTAATACCAATCCTGCCACAATCCCTGACAAAAGGCCGTAAATTTCCCAAAATTGCGATTTCAGACTGTTTCTTGCATTTGAAAGAACTGGAAATTAAATGGCTTTCTTTCTTTAAGGTCTTCTACTCCTGTTCCCATTCTTAAAATCTGCTACCCTGCCTACAAAATAACTTGCCTTCTGTAACTTTTACTGAAGATCAGATGGCTGGATTGCAGTCCCTCATCTCTCAAATAGTGACTGTACCTGCCATAAATATAAAGATGTGTGGAAAAACTGTGCATTAATCTTAAAAAGAGCATGACCATAGAGTACAAAATAACAGTAGACTGCCAATTATCAAGATATAGCTACATAAAATAAAATTGTTAGAAATATTTGGGAGCAACTAAGATAGTGCCTGAATTTGCCTCTTGTACTTCACTAAACCTAAATATGTATTGTAATTTATTTTTATTGATTACATCATTAATTTATTTAAGTATATGCTGCCTCATTAATGACCCTAGCCAACTTAAACCCATGAAAATAATAAGGCATAGAATTAGAATCACCTTAAAAAAAATATAATCACTACTCTCCCTATTGCTACATTGCCACTAATGAAATGGAAACCTCTTCTGAAAAGCACCATCTTAATGGATTTCTTGAATGCAACAGAGAGGAAGACAGTGTGACCATGAGGTCACAATCTGTTTTTAGTCTCCCATCCTCTTAATGTAGTTTACCTCATCCCTATTCTCAGTCAAATTTTTTCTTCAATTTTGGGATGAGAAAGTGGTTTTACTTCAATCCCGCAACTGGAAAAAGTTGAAAACAGCATTTGATTAAAATTATCTGGCCACAGAACAGAGGTTAGCAACCTAGAGTTCATGGGCTGGATGTGACCCATTAACCAAAGCCATCCAGCCCACAATCCCAATAAAAATATGTTCCATAGAGAGGAGGATAGAGCAACTACCTGTTCAGCTGCGCATATGAGCACTCTCCACCTCCTTGGGTAGGAAGTCATTTTGGTGATGATTTCACTAGCCACTCTTAATTTAGATGCAGCCACAAGTCCTCTGCCTGGTACCAGTGAGAGTGAATTGTGTAGTGAAAAAGGAAGAGGAAATGGTGATGGTGGCATGGCCTCTGATCCTAACCAAGGGAATGTTGCCAACTCCTGTCCTGTAGTAATAACCTCTCAATGTAATCAATGAATGGGAAGAAAATTCATACATCTGTTAGATGTGAATCGGATTTTTGCATGTGCGAAATAATTCTAATGCATAAATGGTGATGGGATTTAATGTATCCATAAAATGGTGAAGATGGTTTTGTCCAATCAATAAAATGATGGTTTATTGGGCCTGTGAGAAAGTTAGTTTGTTTCATGAATTTCACTATTGTTGTTCATAAGTCACTTTTTGCTATTTGTATAACCTTCATTCCTCACCTGTATACACACTTCCTGAATCTCTTTTATTCCTTTCTGTCTCAAGTTCATTGCAAATATGCCCCAGCTGCAGTAAATTAATCCCAGTGTTTTGTTATGCAGTGGATTGTCCACATTTTTGTCACAAATCAGAATGTTGATTTTTCAGTGACTTTGGCAATGCAAGGTAAGTCATGAACATTTGCTTTAGAAAATGAGGAACTTCTGATGAAGAAGAGAAATCTGACAGAACAATGATTAATGGAAAATACAGAAAATGTAAAAACTTGGTACAAAGTTAATTTCAGAGAATATTAAAAGGTACTGTTCAGTTTGACCATGTGGAAGTAGGACTTATTACAACTATGAAATTGAAACATGTTTGATATTAAATGTAAAACAGCATTCTTCAACCTGTCAGATGTATCACATTATAACTTCCAAAATATCGAACACCAGGACCATAATGGAATTGAGGTCCCAATGTTACAGAAGGCTGTGAGGAAATCTGGGCATATAGCATTCGGAGAAATATTTCCTGCACATAATCTAAATACGCATCACCAACTCAGCCCTAGGTGGCTGTAGTAAGAAATCCAATAATTGGCCCTTGTTGCCATCCACAAATTATAAAAACTGGATTGTTACTTTGTTAGAGTGTTTTCTATGTTCTTCAAATAAAATATTAAAAAATATTAAAAAATCATAGTTGGGGAATATGGCAAGTTAATGTATTTAAAAGAATACATTGTAAAAAGTGCTTGAAAGAATAATGAAAATTTTATTTTATTTTATTGTAAGGCAACATTAACAAAACCTTGTAAGTCTGAAATTACAATTCCCCATCCATCTCCTTTACACTCCAAGAAATTATGAAGGGCCTCTTCTGAGCTTCTTCCTCACTTACTATCCAGCTATGAACTATGTTGTCTCTTATCTCACCATTCCCTAGGCAGCCTCTCTGGGCCCATTCTCCCAATGGAATTCCCAAATGCCATTACATCAGCTGTAGAAAAAGATCTGTTTTATCAACAACAAGAGCTGTTAATAGCAACTCTTCTCTAATTAATTCAGAAGCAATACATACTGTATATCTCACAGGCCAAGACTAGCAAATCGACTCACCTGTCAAGGGTTGGAGTAAGGTGGTAGTTCTTCGTTACTGACAAGATGGCCTTGATTAGATTATCTGTAGAGAAAGAAAGAATACTTTAAAAAGTGATCCCATTTCAAGGACTTTTCACAATTCGTAAGAGAGATGGATAAAAACTTCAGGATCAAAGTGAATGTTGAATAAATCTGCACCGTAAGTTTAATTTATAACCCTTCAACAAGAAATCAGAAAAGGAATATAAAATACAAGATAGTCTTTGACTTAGAACCACAATTGAGCCCAAAATTTATATTGCTAAATGAGTCATTTGTTAAGTGGATTTTGCCCCATTTCATAACCTTTCTTGCTACAATTGTTAAGTGAATCACTGTAATTGTTAAAATAGTAATATGGTTGTTAAGTGAATCTGGACACTCTACTGACTTTGCTTGTTAGAAGGTTACAAAAGGTGATCAAATGACTCTGGCACACTGTAACCGTCATAAAATGACTCAGCTGCCAAGCATCTGAATTTTGATTACAATGACGATGGAGGCTGCAATAGTTGTAAGTGTGAAAAATGGTCATAAGTCACTTTTTCCAGTGTTGTTGTAACTTTGAATGGTCACTAAATGAACTCTTGTAAGGACTATCTGTATTTTGTCAAGTATCGCTTCACATTTTTCTCAGACATATACCAGCTGGAATTAATTGAATAATAAACTATTCTTCTCTGTGTACTGTGAGCTGAAATACAATACAAAAGGAAATATTTAATATGTATGTCTGTTTAGCTAGGAGAGCAATACAAATGAAGTTATTTGTATTACAATCATGGGCAGCTATTATTATAATAAGAGGAAAAAAACTGAAACCACACAGTATTCAATGTCACCATAGTATGCATTTTTATTAATCTCACTCTAATGTATTGGTGTGGCTTATCTCTACCAAGCCAAAGAGCAAGCAACAACATATACCTGGAGATGTTATGCCACAGATAGATATTCTGGAGAAATTTTTTTTTAAAAAAGTGTTTAAAAAACACAATTTTACATGATGCATACCATCTCTATAAATGCTTTGGATTCTCCGACCCGTACAACTGAGAAAAACCAGAAATAATACATTTAGTAGCAAGTAACTTGTCCTTTTTTTAAACTCAAATTCAGTGATAAAGCCAGTTCAGTTAAGAACAATCATATATTAGCCTGTTGTGACATTATTTTTTATGTTATATCTCAAAATAATCTGAATATAAAATTAAGTCTCCTTAACAGAATAATATTTTAGAGTCATATTTGGAGAACATATTGGTCTACAGCAGTAAGCTAGACCCATTGTTCATAAAATATAATCTTAAATATTCAGTATTTAGAAGCATATTGAATAGTTCAATGTAAAATTCAAGTATAGAGACATATTTAAATGCTTATATGAGGTTGGGCACGATGCTCATTTGCAAACAACATATTTTGCATGTCTAATGCAATCCTTAGGTCCTTAAAACCAGAACTTGAAAAGTACTTCTGTCTGAGACTGGGGAATTACTGCTGGTCTAACATAAATCAAAAGCACATTTTGTGGCAAATAAGACAGTATTACATATTCATATCTACTTCCTTTGCTCTCATTACAAATACCTTGCTCATTTTCACTTATTAATAGCAATAATTAAGGAGGAAAATTGAAGGCGTCAAGTTTCTTAGGAAGTAAAAAAAGGCACTGTTTTTTAAAAGTAATTGTCTAGCAGGAGGATGATAGGAAAATATCATTTTCTTTTAGATATTAAAACTTCAAAAATTCAAGAGTGGAATATATTTAGAAAGCTCTATATAAATATAATGGGACCTAGCTACTGTGTGTGCAAATGTGTGCATATGTGTAAGACAGTCAAGGAGAAAAAGAGAAACTGAGAGAAAAGACCAGAATGAAGTACTACTGTTCTCCATATTTAGTTTTCCCTCACTTTAACAATGACAAATATATCCAATTCTAGCATCCCAAATGATTTCCTCAAAGCAAATAAAGTTATCATTATTAATACTGCTCCTTATTTGTGACCCAGAGATTTTCAATAGCTATATCATCCACTTAAACTTTCTCAAATTTAGCAACTCCACTTTTTATAATTTATGAATTAGGGTTGATGGGGACATCTTGGCAACAAAAATGTTAAAAATAGCTGTGGTATATTTAAGAATACTTGCAAAGGTATTCAGTAAGTAAGTAAATAAAGCAAAGGCAATAATAGAAAAAAGAATAGAAAGAATAGAATACTTTATTGGCCAGGTGTGATTGGACACACAAGGAATTTGTCTTGGTGTAAATACTCTCAGTATACATAAAGAAAAGGTACATTCATTAAGAATCAAGAATCATAATGTAAAACACTTAATGATAGTCATAGGGTACAATCAACAGTCAAATCATACTAGGAAACAGTCAAGTGGGAGGGGATGGGTGATAAGGAGTGGTGAGAAGATTAACAGTAATAGTAGTGCACACTTTGTAAATAGTTGAACAGTGTTGAGGGAATTATTTGTTTCGCAGAGTGATGGCTTACGGGGAAAAACTGTTCTTGTGTCTCGTTTTTCTGGTGTGCAGTGCTCTATAGCATCATTTTGAGGGAAGGAGTTGAAACAGTTTATGTCTGGGATGTGAGGGGTCTGTAAATATTTTCACAGCCCTCTTTTTGACTCGTGCAGTATACAGGTCCTCAATTGAAGGCAGTTGGTTTGTTTTTTTTAAATAATTTTTAATTGTTTTTTCTGCAGTCCTAGTTATCCTCTGAAGTCTGTGTCTGTCCTGTTGGGTTGCAGAACCAAGCCAGACAGTTATAGAGGTGCAAATGATAGACTCAATAATTCCTCTGTAGAAGGTCTCTACTATATGAAGGTCTCTACTGTTGATACTGTGTTGTCTACTATTGTAAGAGGTGGTAGTATAGGAGGGTTTCTTCTAAAGTCTACCACCATTTCTAGAAAATATTTATATCTCAGATGACCCAACTCACACAGATGCTACTTAGTTTGAAATATTCCTAAGTATGTGATGAATGATGACTCATATGATCTTAGTTCAGCCTTCAACCTATTAAGACCCACATGAAATTCTGTAGCATATGCAGCTACAGATACGTATGCAGCTAAGATCCTGGTGAAGCTGTTTGATCATACTGCTGCAGTAATTAAGCCAATCACTCCTGAGACAGTACAAAGATTCTTTCAGAGACTCAACTTACTTTCTCTAATATACTGCTGTTGCTCTGCTTTTATATGAAGATTGGATAAACACTTATTAGGCTTCATGATTCAGCGCTCACTTCTAGGAATCAACAATATGGTGTTCCAAGCCTGGTCTGCAAGCACAATGAGTCACTTTCCTCTATGTTTACACAGAGTGTCTTTTATATAAAACATTCCACAACAATATACAATAAAAATAGCAAATTTCAGTCTTGTAATTTCCAACAGGCTCCATTTGAAGAATTAGTTTCGCTTAGTATGGTAAATACACATACTTTTTATCTGCTATGCATTCATTCAAAGAGAGCAAATATATTCCTTACATGGAAGGCTTCAGGAACAAGCCTTAAGAGATTCTAGGAAAATTAATCACATTTGGAGCAGGAAAAATCAAGGAAAACTATTCGTCCTACACTTGATCCCAATATTATTTTTAGAGTTTTTATGTGATTCTGCTTTAGTTTTGAAAGGTTTATTTATTACATTTGTATACTGCTGTATCTTTCAGGGTCTCCCATTAGTTTACAAGATCATAACAAACAATAAAACATCTACATCCATGATAATAAATTAAGCTAAAATACCAAAACATAATAAATGATTCCACAGAGCTGAATGGAATTATCATTCAACTGAAGTAATAAATAATGAACTTATGGCAAACAAATTAACTACTAAATACCTTATGGAAGACTTCTGTTTTCACTACTTTCTACAATGAAATTAAAGACTATGTGAGTCTGACTTTTGGGGTGCCATTCCATGAGATCAGGTACCAAAAAGCAGTGCTTTCCATACACCTGACAAAGTTGCACAGATTCATTCCCAATTGGAGTCCACACAGGTGCAGGTACATGCGAGATGCCTGGGGAAAGGTCTTACCCATTATCTTGGAACAGTTTGATCCTGCTAGCATTCATGAACTGGATAGGGTCTTCAATGCTGTCATACAACCACCTGTTAATTAGATCCCTGTCCCTCCTGGTTGATAAAAGGTTCCAGGTTGTGACAGCCAGGTGGGTTTGGACAATGGTAAATACCTCACTGCAGGAGGTGACATTTTTGCCTCTTCCTTAAAATAACTATCTCTTGATCCCACCTGTCTGGACAATTTCCATTCACTCTTTCACTTTCTCTTTTTAGGGAGAAGGTTAGAAAAAATGGTTGCTTGGCAGCTTCAGATGGTCCTAGATGAAATATATTATATAGACACCCTTACAGTCAGATTTTAGGTCAGTTATGGGACAGAAACAGCATTGGTCATACTTGTGGAAATTTCTGGCAAGATTACATAAATTTCTGAACTTGAGAATTAAGAAACTGAAGAGATAGCTGAGATGAACTCCTGTGCTCTTATGATAACAATGGATCTAAAATACCCTTTTAGTCATTACATAAGTTTGTAAACTAAATCTTTGGAAAGATTTCAGTACTATCTAGAAAGAACAAAATCATTTTTCCAGACAGATAATCATGCACAATCCCTATCTCTCTTTAAGAAAGCCTTATTCTTTTGCCCTGGTTCAGTCCATTATCTTGCCTAAGTTCAAGCTCTAAATGCAATTAATGTACAACTTTTTACAATTTTGAAGCATGCAAGCTGTTTATGAAAACATGGGCATTAATAAACTATCAAAAGAATTTTCAAATAAATATAAAATCCATCTGTGAATATTTATGGGCAATGATGACTTCATTTAAAGTTTAATTATAATTAACAGAAATTCTTGCATAAATAATTATTTGTTTTCCTTCAACTCCTTGAGTGACATTTTTAGAACACTCTCTTTTCTCTAGGGAAGTTCCAATCAGTATTGATGAGATTCAAGTCACAATAAAACTACCTTTAATACATCCTAGGTTTTTGGGCCACTTGACTTAGTCCAAGAGCTCCTTAACCTAGTACATTAACTGTATGTGAGCTTACTCTCGTTATATGATATGGATGCAAATACTTCACGGAATGATCTTAGTTGCACAATTCCTCCTCGAAAAACAGGAAGAGGGGATATCATATAATAAAGGAAATGAGAGATGAACAAAAATCATATTTGTTAGTTCTGTGTTCAGGCTGTGAATGTAGTGAGATTGGTATGTGAACACTGAAAACAAATGATAATGCCGGTATCATTTCCATCCCCATAACAGTTGTATTTATTTTTGCATATATCAATTTATATTACCAATGTGATTCTGGATGGCAAAAAATATTAAAATGCATGTATATTAAAAATAAATAAAAAACACCCTTCCAACACCTTAATACAAAGGGGTTCCCAAGCATACAATTCACCAATAGTGTGGGTTCAGTTACTCAAATACCCATGCCTATGTAAACAACCAGATGCTTTTTGGCATTCTGAAAACAGAGCCAGAAAAGGATGGGAAGAAATAATGTTAAAAGCCAAGAGGAATACAAATTTGTCAGAAACATCACAGTGACTTGTGAGGGCAGGATATTTCTCTCAAATAAGGATATTTCTCTCAAACATAGAATAGAAAGTTGGAACATAATGAACAGAAACAAATGTTTACATATCATGGACAAACTCTCTACACTTACACTTCAGAAACAGAGAAAGACTTTGTTTTCTGTGTGGTCATTACTTTTCTCTAATATTTACCAGAACATCAGAACATCATAAATTTCAAGGTCAGCCTAAAGTCAAGATCTAAATATAAAAATCCATAGAAAACAAGCAGTGAAAAATGCCTCTTGATCTTCCCAGTTCTGGAACATGCAAACCTAAATATATCCCCATAACAAGATACTTAGAATGTAATATAACACACACAGAGACCACACTTTTTGTTGGCATATAGGCCAATCTTCCTTCATCTGGAGACTTGAGACTCCCACACCTGTAATTGCTATTGTAACATTTCTGGAGGATACTCAATTGGACGACTGCTTATTACTATTTCTACCATAGCAAAATCACACAACTTCCTTAGAGATTACTTTTCTTCATTTCTTCAAAATTTTCTTCAACTTACAACTATTCATTTAGTGATCATTTGAAATTACAAAGGCACTGAAAAAAGTGATTTACAACTGGTCCTTATTCTTAAAACTTACACACATTCCCTTGATCACATGAGTGTTTGGCAACTGGCATGTATTTATGACGTTACCAGGGTTGTGTAATTTGCCTTTGCAATCTTCCCAGTGGCTTTTGATAAGCAAAGTCAATAGGAGAAGCTGAATTCACTTAATGAATTGCACAGATTCACCTAACAACTGCAGTGATTCTCTTAACCATGGCAAAAAAGATCATTGTATTGGGTGTGGCTCACTTAACAACTGCCTTGGTCCCAATTGTCAGTATAAGTAGATGATTACCTGTACTTATCTTGAAGAGAAAATTCCTACAATGTCAAAATTATCAAAAGAAAACCACATGGCTAACATTTGAAGACTGTTCCTAGGTACTAATTAGGATTCAGGTTTAATATTACTAATATCAAGTTCAGTAATTTCTTATTGGTTGTTGAACTACAGCTGCTTTCCATATCTTTGACCAAACCATCTTAATCCCAGAAAATTTACACAATGAAGAATTCCAGTATGATATTTTTCATATGTAAATTTAATAAACACAATGGCAATGTCTAATTAGCAAACATATAGTACATTTCAATGACCTACATAGCAAAGTACACTTCATTGCTCCAAATGATATATCACAGAGGGCTTCATTTCTAGAGAAAGCATAGTAAATCCATTTTAGAAAATAAGATGCATGGGAACACAAAACCAGGAACATAATTTAGAAGAAAACAATAAAAGCACTATTATCACTAAATAGGCAGAGATTGGGAAACAACAAATCAGGCCTGGAAAATCTCTGTCCTGTTAGGGTTTGCATCCAGACCATAAATACTACATTGAATGCTCTTCCCATGCCATTCTGGAGCACAAGATCAAGGGGGAAAAAGAACCTTACATAAGAAAAATAACTATATATGTATATGTATTTAAGACTTAGGCTGAACTGTATGTAATGTTAAACTTTAGAAATGTACTAAGGTTTATTTATTTGCTTTTGATGTCCCAAAATGGATGATGGCACCAACCTCTTCATTAAAAGTCTGATACGGCATGTCATTTTCTATAAAGGCTTTTAAAATCTATTTACAGAAAAAAAAATCTAAAATTATTCTGATATAGTAGTTTGAAATTCTGAAATGTAAAGCTAGCTGACCTTGAAGTTGACAGAATTATGCCAGTCAATTTTCATCTGAATTTCAAAGTAAACACTTGATGACACAAATGCCCAACTTCTGCACAAAGTATTTCACAAGGTATATATTATGTTGTGAATCTCCCTTGACAACAGCCAGATTTTACACTCAGATCAGACCTCCAATTTCTGATGCTCAACTGAATATCATTCTCAAGAAAGTTGTTCAATTTCCCAAGTCCTCTGATTTTGGCAGCCATCATCAGCACCTTTCTCCTGCCATCCTGTTTCAACCAGAATCAGACTAGTCTTGACTAAAAACCTTAATGAGGTTTTGATCCCATCAACAACTCACAATAATTCATCCCCAGTGCCTCCCCTGGGATAAGGAAAAAAGCTGATGCAAGAATTTCAAGTGATGTGTGCTTGAGAGTGTGATGCGAGAAGGGTGCCATTTGCTTCACTCATGCTCTAATCTGTCAGCACTGTCATTAGACTACTAGTTTACTGAGAACAATAATTCTTTCCTCCCACAAGTACAAACTGCTTTAGACTTAATCCTGGCACAAAGTTTGGTCCCAAGAGGGCACTATACAAGCCATTCATTTGATTTGCTCCCACTGCTTTAGCTCCCAACCATTTCAAGAACAGCGGTTTCTGGTTTTAACTGAAGAAAGTCCAACATAAAATCCTAGATTAACACAGCTCTGTAGTGGTGACACAAACAGACAGCAACTTGGAAATACAAAACAAAGACTGCCCAAAGACATTCAGTCATCCTGTACTACAATTCTCCACGCTGATATTTCTTGGCTAAAATTCTCAGCCTATGAAAATAAATAACCCACTGAGAGATCCATAATCTATACTCTGCAGAAAAGTGATCCTGTAAATCCACTATTAGTGAGTAACCCTGTTTCCATCTGTACTTCCAATCACTTCCACAGTCAATATTTCTACTGTAAAAAAATGCACAGTGGCTATTTGTCATCTTTCTAAGAAGGATGCCTCTCCAATGGAAAGGCAAATATGTATAAAAGGTGAGGTACCTATATGCATATCTTGGCCATGGTTACATAATGAGGACTAATTACGTGCAAGGATTTAGTAGTAGCAAGTTCATGCCTCAGTAAGTCTCCTTTCAATAGAGCAACTAAATATTGTACTATGCAAATAATAAAACCCTTAACGTCTTATGGAACTTTTATATTTAATTATATTCTGCTCTGCTCCTTTTTGTGGTATGAAGACAGATAGAGTTGTGAGACTGGATTTACCTACTGAACACTGTCTTAAATATCATGTTTAACAAGGCAGACATCATGGAGAACCATTCCAGCATTTTTTATGTAATACTAAACAAAGGATACTATCACCTGAATTGGTATACTTTGCGTTGAATAATTTCCTATCTTTACGTTCCTTCCATAAATTACACCTTTTATGGGAAGCAAATTTGTTTCCAATTATGTCATTGTCAACATCCTTCTTACTCACCTTTCTTAAGTGGCTACAGAAGGTTGAAAATATAAAATAGTGCTTTGTTTAGGACAATTTTGTACTACTTAAAAGAAAGAAATTTAAAATATACTCAAAAAGGAGAATTCAAATTTAGTTAATATACAAATTCATAAATTCTAAAGGTAATATGCAGAATACAATTATAGTGGATTTGTTATCCTACCTTGTCCTTTAATCCCAAAAGGTGGAAGAAAATCCCGAATCTTTGCCCATTTCCTGAAGGAATCATCCAAAAACATCGGTGCTGGCTTGGAAAATCTATAAATATAATGAAAACAGAATTCTTTTATAAAAGAAAAGAAAGTGAAAACCAAAACTTCAAAGAAAAAAAAAAGAGTTTTACAATCTGAATATGGTATCAAATAAAAAATTCAGAACAAAAGGAATTTATAGCTTTATTCAATATTATCCTGGAAATGAGTGCGAGTAAGCATTTTGATATTATTTAGATCAAACAGGCAGTTCAAAGTCTATAATGATGGTACTCACCAATTTAAGAGGAATAAAGAGAATGGGTTCACACCATTATATTATATCATAAGGTATTTTAACTGCAATTTGTTGAGCAAGCTATAGTGATCTGGTTCACAGATAATGCTCACAATTGTTCTAAGCTAAGATAAAATTATATTATCATTTATCATATTTGAAGTTAAGCAGAAATTAGAAGTTTTTAAGAAAGTGTACTGTAAGTATACAAAGGATTATTATGTATAAAGTGTACTTACAAGTTTGAATACAAGCAAAAGTATGGAACACATAACAGGCTACGCAGCTGTATCAGGACACACATTGCAAGGTAACACCCATCCCTCATCATGCTTCCAAATCTATGTCTATGAGAAGTCCCCGCTTCAACTTTTACCTCTACTATGAATTCACTGTGTAGTCATAAACAAACAACTCAATGTCCTATCTGTAGGCATTGTATTTCAAGATTCTGGTTAGATTTATAATAAGATAATGAATCACATACTTTCAACGTGGCGAAATACTATACACATTGGAAAATATTAGTATTTTAAAATTTCTGACAACAGTAGCCATTTCTGGTGTCTACTGAATTTATTTATTTTTATTTTTATTTATTTATTTGATTTGCCAATTGTTTACAAGATAATAAGTATAAGCGTATACATAGTTGTGAATACATGAAATGGGTACATATAAGAAAAATAAAAGAAGAATAAGAGAAACAATAGGACAGGGACGGTAGGCACGTTGGTGCGCTTATGCACGCCCCCTACAGACCTCTTAGGAAAGGGGTGAGGTCAATAGTAGACAGTCTAAGGTTAAAGTTTTTGGGGTTTGGGGAAGAAACCACAGAGTCGGGTAGAGTATTCCAGACGTTGACCACTCTGTTGCTGAAGTCGTATTTCCTGCAATCAAGTTTGGTGCGGTTTACTTTGAGTTTGTATCTATTGTGTGCTCTTGTGTTGTTATGGTTGAAGCTGAAGTATTCATTGACAGGTAGGACATTGCAATGTATGATTTTATATACCATGCTTAAGTCAGACCGAAGACGGCGTAATTCAAGGTTTTCTAGTTCTAGAATTTCAAGTCTGGTGGCATAAGGTATTCTACAACGAGTAGAAGAGTGGAGAACTCTCCTTGTGAAATATTTCTGGAAATATTTAGAAGAAAAAAATCAATAGTTTCTTTGGAGCAGCTCATTATCACAAAATGACTAAAAGAAAGCCATATATAATGTGCTTCGGAAATATTTTCCTCTGGATATAATTGTACAGGCTAAACTATGTTATCTCCAGTAGTGGTGCTCTTCTTCATTTTCTCTCACTCCCATACACATGCTCTCTACAGTATCCTGCTGTTGCTGCTCACATCCTTTCATTTCTTTTTTTATATATAAATAAAAATGTGTCAGACTAATTGAAGCTTTTTAAAAACAAACTTCAAGGCATGTGTTCCAATCATACTGTGCAATACATGACAACAATTCCATTGCCCAGGCCTTTTAATTTCAGTATTGAGATGTTTTTTTATCATTTTAGATACTCGAAGGACTTCTGTGCTGTGTGGCTGCAATGTTTGCTGAAACCCATCAGCTAATATGGAACCAGTCAATTAATGCTCAATGATTGGTCATGGAACCAGTATATTATTCTGCCCACTCACTTTACCCCAGTTTTCCTTCCAACCCATGAAAACTAAATGAAGTAATTTAAACATGTTTTACTTGCCACCAGGTTGATATTCCTCTTGGTAGAGTGAACCTTTATTTTGTCCCTTTATCTAAACCTGCTGCCCTGTGATTAGACCAGGACTGCAACATGCAAACTTCTAGAGGGAAGTACAGCCCATGCAATTAATACTGCTTACTGTTGAAGGTAGTTCAAGAAAAAAAAACACCTTTGGAACTTCCTGTTTGGGTTTCTTTGGCGATGGACCGAAATCCGCAATCGTGCATGGTTTCAATCCGTGCTCGCCACCGGAGCACCCCGAGCCAGCTGGATTCAGGGCAAAGCCACCCCGTAGAGGTGGTAAAGAGGGGGAAGACCGCCAGCAGGGTTGAGGAGAGCCGCATCTCTCCTCCCCAGCTGGCCATTACTCCCTTTCCTGAAGGCGGTTGCAGTGGTGGTCAGAAATGGCCACCTCAAAGAAGAACTCGACTGGAAAAGATTGGGCAGGAGGAACACAAGAAGAGAAAGCTTTGATTGACTGGGTTGAACTGAAAAAGCAACAACATAAGGTACCCTGGAATCTGAACTATGAAGAATAACGTTGTTCCCAAAGAAGATTTCTGAAGTGGCGAAGGAGAGAGAGACGGGAAAATATTTTTTTTTCTTTCCTTCCCCATACTGACAGCTAAGAGACTTAAGTAAGAAATTGAAAAAATCTCACTTTGACATTAATAGGCATTCAAGCTGAAAATAAAATGTCAAAGGGATAATAAAGATTTCTTGGATATTTAAAAACTTTTAAAAGAAGGAGAGAAAAGGAAAAAACAAAAAGGTGGGATCTGGAAAAATGGAGGAGACCACCTGGAAGTAAAAGGAATTAACAGTGAAACCTTAACAAGATTCCTAAAAAATACATTCTAACTGAAACTTTGTAACAAGACAATAGAACCCCAGGAAGAGAAAGTGGAAAAAAGAAACAAGAAGAAACAGTCTTGGATTACTTGGGGATTTTTGGATTTTTGGCTATTGGATTTAAATGACTAAAATCAATTGGGTGGTTGTTTAAAAGTGTTTAAAATGGCATCACTCTTGGAAGAACTGAAAATTGAACTTAAAAAACAGAGAGAATATGCACAAGAAGGAAGAGGTTTTTGGGGCTTCGTTTTTCATTTTTTAGAAATGGAGATCTTGAACTATGAGAAACAACAAGAAATGCTTGAAGAACAAGAACGGCGGGACAAAGAAGAAGCCATAGTTAATGATCAAGTAATTCTATGTGGGAGGAAAAAAAGGAAAGGGGGGGAAAGAGAGTGAAAAATTTAAGATTTGAAAAAACAACCAAAAAAAGAACAGTTTGAAAAGCAATTACAATATTAGGAAGAAACAGAAGAGAGGATTACAGAAGAGAGAATTAGAATTAAAGAGACAAGGGATCCAAAAGGGGAGGGAGAAGAAGAGGGGAAAGGAGGAAAGGAAAATAAGTTATAAAGGACAGAAACAGGATATAGAGAAACAGGGAAAACGTACAAGGATTAAAAGTACAAGCCTATTTAGCAGACATAGAGATAATGGGTGAAAATTTAATTGAAAGAGAGGATTCTGCAAGGGTACATAAGATAGCATTGTTATATTAGAAATAGAAATGAATTTAGAAAATATGAAACAAATGTGATTAAAGTGATAGATAAAATACTTATTGTAATGGAATGGAATGTTTGTTAATAAATAAATGAAATAAAGAGAATGAGAGAATGAAATTAGGAAAGGATGGGAACATTTTAATTGTTATTAATGATTTATAAAAATTTAAGTGAAGAGAAATATGAAAAAAATATGGAAATATTATAAGTGTTCCTAAGGAAGTATGATATTTAATTGAAAATAAATGTTAAAGATGTTAATTAATATTAATAGAAGATTGTAACTAACATTAATGGTTGAGCTGAATTGGAATAGAATGAGTATTTTATGTATTATCGTTTTATATATATATATATTATCTTTAAGAACTTAGTGTGTATTTTAAGAATGTACCAAGCAGAATTTGATTGGCAAAAGTTATGTGCTATAAAATAGAGGTTAGATATTGAATGTTATAACTGTAAAGGCATAAATTGAAGTTTAAATAAGATCTGAATGGACAAAAATTAAAAGATACGAAGGTGTCATACTCCAATCAATATACAGGGAAAACTCATTTAATGAGAAAAGAAAATATTAAATTGAAGTAGGACAGACAAAAGTATAAACATAATGATTAGAAAGATATTGAAACTTAGAAAAAGAGATGTAATTGAACTTAGAAAGGAATGAGACAATGAAAAACAAGATTGAGAAAACTAAGGGAAGGGAAAAACCACTGAGAAAATGCTAAAATAGTAATAAGATATGGAATAGAATACAAAGATGAATATGAAGTTGAGTTTGTGTCTGTATGGAAAAGGGATAACCCGGGATCATGCTATTCTCAAAAAAATATATTTTATTTGTATTATGTTTTATGAAAACTCAAATAAATTTTTTTACAAAAAAAACCACCTTTGAAACAACAGAACTAAGAGGATGTGACAAAGCACAATGGCAAGGATACATCAATGGCACTGAATGATTGTTAAGAAGTTACAGGGCTCGTGATGTACTAAGAGAGACACCTGGTCAGAAGTGTCTCATTTTCCACAATGTTAAATAATCCATTTCAAAGTAATATGTAATGCTGACTCACTAATAGAACAGCAGGATAACTAACTGTATGCCAAGTTCAAATTGTTGGAAATCCCAGGGATCTTTCTGGAAAAGTTAGTTCAAATTTGAGTGATGCAGATGACAGCAACACTAATGAGGATAATATATATACTCTTGCTTATATCTGTTAATATTTAAAATAGCATTTTCTAGTTGACAGAAAAAAATAATTAATGATCAAGATGCCTGCATGAGAAAAAGGATTCCTCTCACTATTTTCTTCCCAAATAGCTGTCTCACCCTTTCCCATCTTAAATCTCACCAATAATATAAAAGAACCTGAATGGAAAGTAATATTCTGTCAGAATGCACCTCTCCCCACTCCTTTTTTTCAGCAATAGACATATATTTACAGCATCCTCTCCAAGAGTCACA